GGGGGGGGGGGGGGGGGACGAGGAGGAGAGTTAGAGGCAAGCGAAGGGGGGAGATAACGGGGGAGAGGGATACTTAAGTAGACGAGTGCCGTAGTCGTTAATCTAGACCATCGACTTCACATCCCTACAAAATGCCGGGAAGGAGCGATATGTATGCCGGGTTTACATGGGGGGGGGGGAAAGTGACGGTAAGGGCAAGCGCAGTCAGTTCGGTGCTCGCGAGAACACCCCAAATTTGTGAAAACAATGCCACGTCGGACACTGTAGTTTAGGGTGTCCGCGAAAAAGAGGCCCAACAGAGATTCAGGAGCAGAGTCACAAGAGAACGGCTCATCATCGTATCATCATGTGGAATCTACCCACATGGAAAGTACCGCACTGCTAGGGTTGTAAAATGTGGAGAGGTGTTTCGAGTGAAGTTAGACAATCGCTAACTTAGGACCACGCAGATGACAACCGCAGGGCTATGCGTGGATAAATAGTCTACGCACATCAATACGCTTGGCGTGTCTACGTGTGTAAAAAGCATCGGCTATTTTCGTGCACCGACCAGGGCCTCGACCTTCATTTGGCATCAACGCTAACGCCCCAAGGGACGCAATATGATCTACACTGGCTTCCCGTGCAGATGGGCACGTACAGGTGTCGGCACGGGCAATAACTACCCCTACTCGCAACACAGAAAATCCTGGGCTTCAGGCCGAGTTCCCGCCTGTAATCCCGCCAAGTCTTCCCCCATGCCCATGCATGCCACCCTCTGTGAGGGGATTACCACGCAGTGTGCAATCTGGATGACCCGTCATAACTTTACTCGGTAAAACTGTTTTCGGACTGCTACATGGTGCCTGGCTGTGCTTTGTCTAATATGCCGTCTCTGCCTTCACACAAAAAATCTTGCTCATTTGCGGCTGCAAAGCGCGTAGCCGTAGTCGTAAGGTTTGCGTTGGTGCTGTTTCTTCCGTTGCCAGGGTTGTACTTCTGTTGTGGTGATTACAGGAAACGGCAATCCCTGATCTCCATCAACTGGTGAACGAGCGAGACAAATTCGACATGTAATCTCGAGTGTTATATACGACCTACACCTCCCTGTTGTGTTTCTCATGTGATGCTCGAGCAAAGTATCCCCCTGCGGGCGACAGGCTCAACGAGACAGGTTTGGTGGCCATCTTGTGGATAGGCCTCTACGCGGTGCGCAATATCGTGAATTCCTTTGACATTTATCAAAACTTAAAAGATCAGAGATGGACAAAAACGACGGAGGTTCGGTGCGGAGGATCACGGATTCTGGAAGGATGATGATGCGCATGTAGACATATTTACTGTATATACCACCTACGTAGTCGTGGGGCGCTGGTTGGCCGTTCCTTGTGCTTTCCTTCAGTCTCAGGGAAAGCGTAAGGTTCTTCTCTCGTGCAAGCATGCCTACGTACAGCAAGCACGCACACCCTTCGACGGCACACGCGCTGATGATAGTTGTGGGCGTGTCGTCATGATAACACCGCCGTTTCTTGCGGAGGGAACAGAAAAACTCCACATCAAATGTTTGCAAGCGAACGTCATGACTCCAAACGGACTACACGCAACGTATATTTCTACGAGCTACACCTAGCTTTGCGGAGTCGTCGGATGAGTGAGCAAGACACAGACATAAAAGGGCGGGGTGAGGGACGCGCCTGCGCGTATCGAGCAGCACTGAAAACACAACGTATTGTGATTGAGTTGCACGAGTCCAAACAAACCAGTTTCGCGGTGGCACGGATTGCGCAAAGCCACACGACGAGAGGGCGAACAAGAGCACTCACCATGACACGAGGGACGTTGCCATCACTCGCGACCCCAGACCGGCCGCATCGGCGACCGACGGCGCGAGCAATGCGCCGCAACCAAGCAACGAAATCTTCATCTCGACGACGGGTGTGGGGTTGTGCCACACGGATGCGTGAGAGAGGGAAGAGAGGGAGAGTCCGAGAGGGAGAGAGAGAAGAGACTTGGAGAGAGGACCGGGGACCGGGAAAACCTGGACACGCTGATTGGCTTGAAATGGACAGTGCCTTGCCACACTCAGTGGGTGGGAAAACGGTTTGGTTATTTTAGATCCGGTGGGCGAACATGTGGCTCTACAGCGTCCACGACGGTAGGGAGATCAAACGGCGGTCTAAGATAACTCGGGCTAACATTGTTGACACACCCTTGGTACGTTGCTCGTCGATTGCTCACCTCTGCGGGCATCGCGTTTGCCATGTATCAGCACATGGGTTGGATCAGGGATTGCACAGTAACACACATTGACTACTGTACAAGAAGAGGTCTTTGCATGACTGCTGCTGCTGTAGGGTACAGACTCTATGCTGTGCATGCTGCCATAGATTTTAGACAGGGGCGGCAATTCTCCCGTTGTTGCCCTGTTTGAGGCTCTCTCCGGCGCCATACGAGCATCTTGTTGGCGAACTTGACCATCAAACGTGGCCGATGTATGTAGTTGCCGGGGTTCATTTGTATGAAAACAGCCGAGAAAATAATCACTGATTGTATTTAGCCTTAGACTAGTGTGAGAAAATACAAAATACGCGCAGTAGTACCCAGAGGCTACATTCACTGAAAAATACTTTTCGAGGCGTCCCCTTCGACGGTGATATTTGCTCGTACCGTTAGTCTTTCAGCGACCGCGTTGTATGTTAATCTGCCTATGTATACCCTTCGTTCCCGAAACGCGCAGCAGGAAGGAGGAGAGCAAAAACAGTAGCCTGCTTGCAGAGCACACGATACACACGGTTCGTACCTTGCCAACATGCGTTTGCCGTACCCAGGACTGAATATAGTTTGTATATTGCGTTTGATTGCGTTTAAAGTTCCTTGGTTGTACGGTTTGTCTCCACATACATAAAGAAACTGCACAGTTACACATAGACTGTCTGTCAACTGCAGCCCCCCCTGCATACTCTTCAATACCATACCATACTCACAGACCAGCGAGTGAAGGACACAACAACAGGATTGAGCGGGGAAATTGCCGCGTAGACTGGACTCCGCTTATTTTTCTACGATAAACAGGCCCCGGCGTATGCACCATCTGCGTCACCATCGTTCTCGTTGACCGTCTCGGGTGGCCTGCAGGCAGAAGGTGTCCACTGCACGCATAACACCGGGTGTATACCTCTGATTCCCGTACGTACGAAATCGTATCATCCCCTCCTACTCGTTTGCTTTTGTGTCTGCCCCTCTATGACGTTCTCGTCTGAAAAGATAGCGACGTTGATATCTTCATCGCATGCCGCAGTCACGAGGTAAATAGTGTCGAACTGTGACTGGCTGTGAATGAATGCATGTGCTGTGTTGAACCAGTGGTTATAACGCTATCGCTTAGGGTGGTTCACTCATGTGTTAGCGTAACAAGCACTGGCTAGAGTTCAATTAGCTTCATCAATTTTATGGTTAGTTTCATGGTAACTTACCATTGAATTCAAGTTGGGGCTAGCAAAAGGGATACAATCCCGGTGGTTCTTACCAGGGGGGTCTAATCCAGGTGGAACTAGCAAGGTGGGTCTAGGTAAGATCTATCCAGATCTAATCTACCTCTCATGCATCGACTCACAGACTGGTTGCTTCTTAGCGGTGGGTCAAAGTTCGTTTTCCGAGATTGGTCGTGTTGACAGTGAGCGATCACCTCAAACAAGAGTTGGGAAAGAGCTCTAGAGGGGCTCCGCCAATGATTCAGGTACACCCCAGGGTATAACGTAGCCCTCCTCAAACCATCGTGAAATGGAATGATTCTCAGTATTTAGCGCCCGTTCCTGCTACCGTGACACCCCTCCAGCATAAATGTGTTGAGAAACACAAAATGCACAGGAGGTAGCAGAACGTGCACCTCTTCCTCATCAGATCATACCACGCCGGGAATATAGATCTGAAAAGGGAGGTTGCTGCCCTCCCCAGGTTAAACCACAAAAAATGATTTGAACCTAGAGAGGATGAATGCCGGTATTATGATCGACGTCGATGTAAGATTGCTGAAATCATCGACCTCGGATGACGGCCGTTAGTACTTTGGCCGCCGTATACCAGACTCCCTGACGACGACGATCTTGAACTGAAGAAGATGATCATTCACTGACGAAGATGATCTTCAACTGTCGAGGGTGATCTTCAACTGTTGAAGACGTTCGTCCACAGACAGTCTTCGCAGACAGGCGACGATCTTCCTCTCTGTCGACGACGATCTTGAATCTTGACAGACGCTCTTCGACTGTTGAGGACGGCCTTCAGCTGCCGCAGACGATTTTGTATTGACGAAGACGGTCTTCAACTGTCGAAGACAACCTTCAGCTGTGGAAGACGATCTTCAACCGACGAAGACGGTCGTCACCTAACAAGGACGATCTTCAACTGTCGAAGACGATCTTCAACTGTCGAAGACGATCTAGAAACTTTTCATCCGTAACACTGCCGCAACTCCCCCCCCAGCTCGCCCAATGAAACCTGAGTAGCGGCTTGCAGTTTACCCTAGACGCGAAGCCGATCGTGAACATCCCATGTACTACTCCTCCATATCACTGCCGAGACACCCCCCCAGCTTGTCGCAAGGAAGCGACGATCTATCGGCAGTGTACCTCGTGCGGACTCTTGAGCAGCCGATGGTTGAAATCGTATCGGCAGGGTGATGCCTCGTTGTACCTCCCAATTTAGCCTTTGCTGCGGGTGAAGCTCGCCCGATCCGCATGGTTTGAAATTCGCTATCGGTTTTGCCTGCCTCATCCGTAGCGCCTCCAGCACTTCGATGGTTTTCCGTCTCGTCTCCTCCATGGTTTACTCCAACGGTTTGGCCGTGTGCCTGGTAGAGCTCCGACAGCATCTCCTGCAACACCTACCCCATCTCTACAGCCTCCCGTCCCCGAGGGTAGTTGATAGGTCCCAAAGTCCAGAGATATCTTCAGCTAGCGGCAAAGATGTTCCATGATGGTTGAGGTGTTGTCCTTCTTCAGCGTTGACCATGGTGCTTATCCGCACTGGTTAGGGTGCGAGCAATACTCGGATGTCCGAAGGTGCCATGTGCCAGGGTCAGTACTCCAGAGATAAAACATGCGACAGTGCCACTACTTGCCCCTGCCTTGAGATGCGTACCAAAGTAGGCTTTCCTCGTCAATGCCGTCGTCCGCCGTCTCTCATTCGCTCTTCTCTTAACGCTTCCCTAATTGGCTTCAACAGTAGGTCCTCCTGTCGGGCCGCCTTCAGCTGAGTGCCGTTACGCAAGATAGTCTCCCTCCGTTCCAGCTGCTCTGAGTGTTCTCTGTACACTGGTGGGGCCGGAGCTGGTTGCTTCAACACTATTGACTCCGTTGCCCCCGCCGATGTCGGTGTTGGTGTCGTTTCAGCGTGTGTCGATGCCTATACCCTCTGTGCCTCCGTCGACGCCGATGACGACATCGCGGTTGGCCCTTCCGGCGGCCCGGATGGTTTCGTAGAGGACGTTCCTTCCTCCTACGATGGTGGTCGCTGAGCTTCCTCCGGCTGTCGGCCTCTGTGAATTGCACTCCGAGTCTCAGCTTTGTGACTTTGACGCCTGTTCGATCAATTCTGTCGACAGCGGCTCGAGAAAATCCTCCTGTCACCGCAGGTGTTGTCACCTCGTCCCGCTGGCCAGATCGATGCCACTCGTCCTCGCCTTGCAGTGAGGGACCTGCGTTGTCTTCATGTGTCACATCCATCCACCGCTTTGGCCTTCCTCGCAGTTGCAGTAGATGAAGCACCTATCGCAGGATGGGTGTCACAGTGGTTGCTTGCATCTCTAAAGCCGCGTCACACCACTTGAGAGTCGGTCTGCTACGATGTGTCCTCCGACGCTGGAGTTCGTATGGGTGTTTCCCCGTCATCGGTTCATATCAGTATCGGCGCCGGTGCTGTTGCGGAGGTTGACACCTGATGCCGACGCTTGTGACGGCGTGGAAGACTCAGTTGGCGTCGTCCTGTGTGGCGACTCTGACATCCTCTGAGACGGTTTTCCTTTCTTCCTTGACCGTGGGTGTAGATCTGCCTCTGATTGTCGCGCTCCGCGAGTAGCGCTCCGGGTTTCCGCTGGTGTGATTTTGAATCATGAGCTGCCAGCTCTGTTGGCTCGCCCGACTGACTCCTCTGGTTACCGCGGCTATTGTTGTCTCTTTCTGGCGTAAACTAGTCATCCATGACGATTTCCTCCTCGTCGTGTCCCGCATGATTGTCCCCGGAGTTGTAGAAGGTTAGGAACCTCTCGCAGCATAGGCGCTCAAGTGTTCTCTTGCAACACCAGTGCCGCGTCACACCGTCTGAATGTTGGTGGACTGTCGACCTGTCCCGAGGTGTGTTGCACTTTGATAGATATCCTTGTAGCAATGCCAAGTGGTTGGTGCTGGATGTTCCCATGGAATGAGGTAGAGCGGAATACCGGGTGACATGTGTGGTACGTAGAATGGATTCCAGGGATGTACAAGGTACCCCTGTTGTATACGGCGTCGCCCCCTCAACGGGGCTTGTGTGTGTATGTGGATGCAACTAATCACAACAAATTTTTCTCCTCGGCGCAAGCTCGCCGAGTTGCCGATACCCTATTCAACACACGTCTTGCGACAAGCTACCTCCAGTTCGGATTGTCCTAACACGCTAGCGTGGTTATATCATACGGGATCCCGAGGTGGGGCTACTACAAAAGGGTCCGGCCAGAGAACAGTGACACGGAAATCATGGAGCAGCAGCTGGATGAGCTCCAGCTCTCGGACGAGCAGCGAGACGTAATCGACGCTCTTATCAAGGAGCAGGTCAAGATCAAAGTAGAAGAAGCAGCAGCAGCAGAGCGCCTCGCAACACAGAGCGAGGGCATGCCTTCCGAAGGAGGCGACACCCGGCTGGAGAGGCCGGCTGGCTCGGAGTCAAGCCCGCGACTCGAAGACCAGCCCCGATCGCCGGCGGACGTCAGCCTCATCGACACCCTCGCGCGGGCCTTGCAGAGGGTCAAGATAAGACCGGAGGATGAATACAGGGAAGTTCCAACCCCTAAAGAAACAATACGTATTAGCGCAGGTATCACAATCCCTGCATTCACCGGGAAGTTTTGCCCCGAGGATGATGTACAGACGGCGGTAATGGTTTTCACCAGTCAATTTCGATCTTTGTTGGAGCAGGAGCGTTGCCTTGGGGCAATAGAATCGAAGAACACGATTCGTGTAGGGAAGACGGATGCGAATATCTCGGCATTGAAGGTGGAGCATGGGACGGAAGCTGTAGATCGGGCGGTTAAGGCTTGGCAGCTAATTATATCCAAGATACAAGTACCGACAATAGTCCCTGCAATTCTAGCTAGTGGTTGCCCCACTGAATCGTGGGATCAATTTCTCAACTTTTACCGAGTGCACGCAGACACGGACAAGTTGGAGTTGCAGGGGCAGTGGTACTCGTTGAAGCAGTAAGTAGGGGAGGAGTCCCGGCGCTATCTCACAAGAGCATCAGTACTTCGCCAGAAACTAGAAGCGTACGGTTGGGTGCAATCCGATCATGATGCTAACGTCCACTATGTACGCAACCTTCTGCCTGATTTCAATGTGCAGAGGAGCGTGTTGTTGGCGCATTCGGAGGTCAAGACGGAATTGGTAGAGAAGGTGATTCTGACTGCCCGGGCGGAGACGGAGGCCGCTAGGAAGAGAGCGTCGGAGAGCGTGGGGGCGTATGCCCTCGTCACTGGCGGTGATAACCGTGTTGGCGGGGGCGGGAACATGGGGGATAGGGGGAAGACGAGCGGACAACGGAGGACGGCAGCGCGGCAACAGCAGCAACAACCGCATCAGCCACAGCAGCAGCATCAGCCGTACTTCAAGCAGCAGCAACAGGTATACCCGCCGCCGTACCCGCCTGAAATAAAATATTGTGCCTCCACAACTGGTCGTCCCACAGCAACGAGGAATGTCGCTTACAGCGGGGTTGGGGAGGCCCCTCGGGCGGCCAAGGTGCGAGCTACGGCGGAAGGCACGGGCCCCAGCATGGGGGCCGGGGTTTTCTGGAGGAGGACGTCATCAGCAGCAGCCGGCTGGAGGAAGA